TGTTAAATAAAATTGTAGATATTAAATAAATATTGTAAACTTATATGTTCTATTATCCTTGCGTCTGAGTAAAATTTACAAAATAATTAATAGGAATATATTGCTTTTTGCCTTAAACATTATTATATAAGCTTTCAGAATCACTTTTAAGCATAACAAGATAATTAAGCTAGCATATCTTCTTCAATATATCTTCTTGATCATGAGAAATAGTTTCAATTATGAAAAGTTGCTTTCCTTGAGCATCGCTTATTTTTTTTTTTCAGAGGACTTCTAGGATATATTAAAATGTTGTGGTCAGTACATGGTCACGAGAAAAAAAACAGAAATGTCGCCGATATATTTAGACAATGCGTCAGTCGTCATCCTAATAAAATCTGCTTTATTTTTGAAGATCAAGAATGGACTTTTCAACAGGTAAAACAAATTCTCTCTTATTTTTTTATAGAAAAGGGATATTATTTTTATTTACGAGTCGTATTTATTTATATGCTTTATTCGAGGATTTTTATCAAAACATTTGTGATAATAATTCATTGATCAATTTGTTGATTATTTCAATTATATATAAATGCAGTAATTATTTGAAAAATAAATGTATGGTTTGAATTAGCAAATTATGTACGTAAATTTTTGAAATTGTCATTTAGTTGTAATATTCCATGAAGTATTTTACAATTTGCAATGCTGATATTATAATTGATTTTCAGGCTAGGCTTCGTGTTTGTCTTTTTTTACATTGTATATCTATTCTTTATAAGTGTACTATATAATTGTACATAATTATATTAATCTGTCATAGATAGAAGATTTTAGCAACAAAATCGCGACGATATTTAAAACACATGGCTATAAGAAAGGAGACGCGGTTGCTTTACTGTTGGAGAATCGGCCGGAATTTATTGCGATCTGGCTAGGTTTGAATAAAATTGGTGTGATAACGTCGTTGATTAACACCAATTTGCGTAAAAGCAGTCTTTTGCATTGTATTAATATTGCAAAGTGTCAAGCGCTTATATATGGCACCGACTTTTTGGACGGTAAGGGCACTTTTTTTAATCGGTATAATTAATAATTAATTATCTGTTTTACGTTAGAATCGAAAAAGTAACGTCTAACAAGGGAAAGACCAGGTCAGTACATCACGAATCCTGATATTTTTTTGGTGAAACTAGAGGCAAAATAAAGATATGGTGTCCGAGCATTTGATTGAATGGACTTTAGTTTTCGAGTAAGAATTTTCAAAAAATAAATTTTTTTAAATAATAATATTCAATATTTAATAATAAAAAGCGATATATTTTTTTCATTCAACATCGGTTATAATAATGCTTGGGAAAAAATT